AGTTGTAATTTTATAATAAATCATCAATAACTTAATGATAAATCACCAACAATGATTGGTAAATCATTCATAAGTTAATGACAAATCATTTATAAATTAGTAGTACATCATTAATAGCTTAATAGTAAATAATTGATAACTTAATTATCAATCATTAATAATTTTTATTATATTTGAAGTTGTAAGGGATTGAACCATGGGTACTAGTAGAAATGAAGTCAAAACTTTCATTCTAAGGATTAGAGTAAATCTACCATGAATATATTCAATAAAAAATTAGTGAAAAAATTATAAACTTGAATAAAACAATAATGTTATTATATAAAAAGAAGATTATTTCTTATATTATTAGTGAACTTTTAAATTTCATGTTTCATAATTGTAAATATATAACAACATATTAGTAAATTAATAATAGATTAATAAAAAAAAGTGATAACTTAGTAGTTAATAATTAATAACTTAATAATAAATCGATAATAACTTAATAGTAAATTAGTGATTACTTAATAGTTAATAAGTTTCAATTTAATAGTAATTAATTAATGAATTTAGTAATAAATCATAAATAACTTAATAGTAAATAAATGATAATTTAATAGTTAATCATTAGAAACTTAAAAGTAAATTAATATAACTTAATAGTAGTTATTCATTAATAACTTAATAGTTAATTAATGATAACTTAATAGTAAATCATGAATAATTTAATATAGATGAATGATAACTTGATAATGAATCATATTTAATTTTTTAATAAATCCGTGAAGATTTTGTAGTAAATAATTAAAAATTAAGTAGTAAATCAATGATAACATGTAGTAAATACATAATAACATAATACTAAATCATTAATAATTTAGATGTAAATTGTTGATAACTTAATCGTAAATCACTAATAATTTAGTTGTAAATAGGTGATAATTTAGCAACAAATTAGTTAATAATTAAAAACTTTGTAGTAAATCATTGATAAATTAATAAAAATCAGTTATAATTTTATAACAAATCATTAGTAACTTAGTAGTAAATTATCAATAATTTAGTAGTAAATCAGCCATTATTTAATAGTAAATCCATTCATAGATAAGTAGTAAATCAATGCTAATTTAATAATAAATTATTGATAATTTAGCAGTATATCATTGACAGTTTAATAGTAAATCACTTATAACATAATAGTAAATCAATTATAACTTAATTGTCTATCATTGAAAAAAAATTTTAAACTTAAAGTTATTAGGAATTGAATTTTGGTTAGTAACAAAAATAGAGCTAGAAATTTTATCTTGGGAGACTAGATAAACTTACTATAAACCTATTCAATAAAAAAAATTTAAGGGTCATATGATATTGTTGTGTGTTTTATGTTTTTGAAAATTTTGTTTTGTTTTATTTTCGTTTTATTTTCAATTTATTGAATTTTAAAACATATTTGGATATAATTTTATATTTTAGAAATGTGAAAACAAAAAATATAAGAGAAAGTGATTAAAGCTTTTAGGCTTTGTTTGTTATTAATAATATAATAATATAAATATAATAATATTATTTATTAATATATTATAATATTAATTATAAAATTATTATTTTTAGTATATTATAATATTATTTATTAATATATCATATTAATAATATATTACTAATATAATATATTATTTATTAATATATTATATTATTTACTAATAAAATAATTATTAACATAATATTTATGTAATAAAAATATTATTTTATTAATATTATAATTGTAGTGTCATTGTAATGGATTAATTGTAATTTCTGTGAATTGTGCCCATGAGATAACAGTGCCAAATTGTTTTCAAAAAATTGAAAAACCATTTTTTTATTTTCAACAATTTCTAAAACTTTTCAAAATTTTGTTTTCAGTTTTCAAAAATAGAAAACAAAAACAACCTACCAAACATGTTTTTGTTTTCAATTTAAAAAGAAAAGGAAAACGAAAATAGAAAACAAAAAGCCAAAAACAAAAAAAAGGGAAACGTTACCAAACGACCCCTTATAGAACAAAAATTCTAAATTTAAATAAAACAATAATGTTATTGTATAAAAATAAAATTATCTTATATTACTAGAATTGAACCTGTGCTTTCCTACAAGAATTTTTTGTTAAATATATGATGACACAAATTTTATCATTAATTACTTGAAATATATCATAAGTTGTCAAAATATTACTAAAATTACATCAAGACATTACTAAAATTTTATCAGAAATTACCAAAATTGTATTAATGGTTATCAAAATTTCATCAAAAGTTATCAAAATCAAAATTATAAAAATTATCAAATTTTACTTATATTACATCAAAATCAAAATTAAATTATAAGTATTTATCATTATTATCATAGTATAAAAAAATTTATTTATTGAAATAATTTTTTAGAGATAAGAATTACACATACATCACATATGTGCCTAACACTAGTTTAGTTAAAGTCATAAACAGCTAGTTATAAAAGTTTGAATGTCTAAATATTTAAGAGAATCCTAAAAGTCTTGAAATGGTAACGAAAGTTTCGAAACATCACTCCCCAAAATTGCTGCAAGCATAATAAAATAAGAACTTATAAAAATGTTAAAGAAAAGAACGAATACAACCCTTTAGTAAGCAGCCAACACCCCTCAACTGGGCGAAGCATGATTAAAACTTTTAGATTAAAATAAAAGAATTAAAGACCAATTTCAAATTTTAGAGTATTCATGCATTTACGAAATAGCTAGTTTCAAATCATAAGCTAGAATAACAAAACTCAACAAATATTACAATTTTAATTTTATAAATCTATCTCCCTTCACAAGCTATGGCCATCTTTAACCTTGATGGCATAGGTCCGAATTAGAATCATAGTCATGGTTAACCTGTTAGTGCAATGAGATAGAAGTATATTAGAAACAACCAGATGGTTGTGCTGAACAATCATAACTCATTAGTGTAATATAAATTAAAATATTTAATCTTGAATTGAGTAATTATCCAAATTTTTAATTTCAAATTAGCATATTAGCCATTAAAAAATATTCCAATTTCATGGTATAGGAATAGAGGTAGAAACACTGAATCAGCTCAATATTGTTTTAGCACAATAACAATTCTCTTTTATCTGTGATAAAAACAATAATAATTTTCTTGATTCTTGTTTTATGTCCGGAACTAATCAGGAGGGTATACTGTCACGAACCAAGCCTCAATTAATCTACTCTTACCACTTGAGTTAAGTCAATTAGGTGGGAAAACTTCACGAATCTCTAGTAATTTTCTGAATAAACTGTTTCCAAATAGGCTCTTCACCTGATCGTCGTGGCTTTTGTATGCTCAAAATTCTGTATCTATTAGAAAAATGGATAAACATGACTATTGAATAACAAAAAGAAAGGTTTAATAAAACTACAGGGAGAAACAAGTGTTTATATCTTTGGGGGAAAAAAAAAAACAACTAAAAGAGCTACATAGAGTGTTCTTAGGTTGAATTCCAGCCGACATTAAGATGTATTAGCAATCATCACAAGTACTTATAGTTTTTAAAAAATTATTCTTTAACTCAAAATTTAGTCTAATCGATTCTTACAATCACTTAATTTAAGAGGTGACATCTAAATCTGATATTCAAATCTTAGCATTTATAATCCTTTCCTCTATCTTAACCTTTTTGACTATAACTTTTTTTATAAAAAAAATGTTTTTAGCTTCAATCAGTAAAAAATCAAATAATACTTCACAAATTTTTACAGGATTAGATTAAATAATACATGATAGTGACGGCTCGAAAGTTCCATAAGAATTCTAATTGGCATAACAAAATCAAACATTTCCTCTTTGAATGAAAATTGCATATAATGTTAGTTTTTAATTATGGAGGGAACAGTCTCAAGTCTCAACAAGGATCAGGTCATCATTCATTTATTTACTATTCTATATATTGTTTCATATGTAATTCAAAATGCGATTGTGAAGGTTAATTTAGATATTGTTGCATCTCTCATTCAGGCAACCAAAATTTTTAGCTCCACTAAACCATATGTAGCCAATTGACAAAAAGTTCACATATCATGCCACGTATATTCACACGTTAATGATTGTTTTTAATCCAGTGGTAAAAATATGAAAGACAAAATTCAGTGGAATGGGACTAAACCTTTAAAATTGATATAATACATGGACCAATTTTCAACTTTGAAGAAAAAACCAACCTTGGCACTGGGGCTCTCTTCGTTGATCAATCCCATCATCATGTCGTTGGAGCCTAAAGACCTTGAGAAGAACTTGAAAGGAGATAAAATGGGATCAGATCTTGACCTGCTTAAAACAGGAGCCTTTGGAGGTAATGCAGAATAAGAAGCATTTCCTTTTGACAATGGGTTATTTCCATGGCCTTTGCATTTTCTGAAAGGTTAGTTTTGGAGGGGCATAAGGGTCAGAAGCAGACCGGTGGATATGTGGAAATGGGAGCTTGGAGAAACCAGTGAGGGAGTACTGGAGGTTGTCAAGTGAAGGCTTTTTGGACTTGGGTTCTGAGATTGGTTCAGGAGAAGGACGTTTCATTTGGTTGGAAACGGTGACATTTCAGGCACAGGTTGTGCATGGATGGCGGTTTTGGTGGTTGCTCTACAAGCAATCAAGGTGGAGTAGGGAGAGGTTGATGGATTCTTGGAGTTGAACATCATCTTCTTGGTGGTTTGGAACGTCAAAGTGGTTCTTGGTTCATTTCACCCATGGGTTTGCCTTTATGGATTCTTCAGTTTTCAATCTTTGTTAGAGAGATTGAGTTTCTTGGTTGAAATGCAAGGGAAGAGGGAAAAGGATAAAGGCAGAGAAAACTGTAAACGGTTTATACGAAACTTTTGAGGGGTGTACGGATGATTCTTGAATCTTGATTGTTTGACAGTTGTTGTAACTGACAAACCAATGAGGGAATGCCATATCAATCCAATAAGCTGAAGAAGAAAAAAAAAATAAAAACCAATCATGTGATGCATTCATTTCCCTAGATGAAGAAGGGGTGGGTCAAAACTAAAAACAAATTACAATACTCCATATTATATAATCAAAATGAAATACAGAGAGGTTTGCATAAGCCAAAGAACATAAGCAACTTCTTTATTTTATATATTCCAACCCATGAATTATACTAAATTCAATGAGAGAAACAAGTCAAACATTATTCCGAGCAAGCTGCTACATAGATGTATAAATTTTCCTCTAGTTGTTATCTCACTAGAATCGGGACTGAAGATAGGTAACCACAGTCTTGTCCAACTGGAAGGCCTTGGCAAGAACATCAGGATTGATGGGAGGGTTTGAGCCAAATACTGCGTTTGCAATGATGATAAGCCCTGGGTTTTGGCTGCTAAGACCAGAAATGGCGACAGCATTGGTGTTCCCTACGTTGAACTGGAAGTGAATGAGGCCGATCGGGAAAACGAAAACATCTCCAGGGTATAGGACTTTGGTGATGAGACGATTATCCGGGTTGGATGTAACAAAGCCAACGTAGAGTGTGCCCTCCAAAACGACTAGGATTTCTGTGGCTCTAGGATGAGTGTGAGGGGGGTTTAGGCCACCATAGGATGCAAAGTCAAGTCGGGCAAGAGATATGCCAAGAGTGTTAAGTCCTAGTATTTGTTCAACAGTGACTAGAGTGACTTTTGATCCTAGTTGATTCGATGTATTTCCTGGAATGTTGAGCCCCGGAAAAAAGAAGTCATTTGCTGTGGCGAGCTTTGGGTCCTTGCAAAACTTGCCATTAACAAAAACTGCATAAATGGAAAGAAAAATATTACCACTTTGATACAATTCCATGCAGAAAATGAGATAACACTTCTCAAATAGTTTAAATAATGACATGAATACATTCCAAAGAAGACAGAGGGATAATTAAAGAACATACCACCATCGTTGGTGTTATTAATTGCTACACAGAAGTCCTGAAGAGGGCTGGGATCAAAGGCAGAGGCAAATGTGAAAGCCAGAGCCAACAGGACAAATGCTACATGGAAGTGAAAACCTTTCATCGTTGCAAGGTTGCTTTCTTGATTAAATTGTTCTAAGTTTTGTTGCTTGGAAAGGAGTGGGAGATCTAGCATGAGAGCACGCTATTTATAGATAGCACTCACTGAACAGGTCTATTCATTTTCATTATTTAATTATTCTTTTGAGAAAAAAACTGATAAAAAATTTACCAAGTCTGCAGTGGTTATGTTTTAAAAAAATATGAATGAATCATTCTTCAGCTACTCTGCACCTCTATCCCCGTCGAATTTAATCTTCCCATGTTTACATAAGTAAATTGAAATGGAACTGGTCAATCTTTACATAGCAAATGTTTTCTTTATTTATTTAACTCTTCCATTTACTTCTTGAAAATGAAAAGGCATAAACAAGTTCAAAGACTCCAATAAATAGGCATGTTCTCCAGCAAAGTTTCTCATCCTTGCCTTTGTTGGTTTAAGTAGCCAAAACCCTGGTGTCATAAACATAGCAGACGCAATCTTTGGATCATATTCAGCTATTAAAATTCTTGTCAAGTTATGCCAACATCAGAAATGTTCCAAAATAGATGCCATAATGCTCAAAGCATACATAAGTACAATCAGCAAAGTAAAGCTCATAACATACTTGACATTGTGATTTTCAGAGTCAATCAGCTCACTGCGTAGACCTGAAAACTGTACGGACCTTGGCCCTTCTTTTTACTTGATACAATTGTGAGGTACATAAAAGACTTCTTGATCAAGTCATAAACCCCGGAGCATTTGCTCATGAAGATGGAGTTCTGCAATCCCAAATTGAAATAGAGTCATGTTAAATACTTTTTTGGACAACTTTTAATCAATTAATATGGATATAAGTCTTCGGATGATCAAAGTTAATGTGAAAAATGTTGGGGAGATAAGTCACACTTGGAACTGTGAGCACACTCAAAAGCACATATATATGTTGGACATTACTTGAGTCTAAAAGCTTAAGATATTGAGATTTTGGGTCCTTCATTTATATATAGGATATTTTATTCAGATTTTTTAATAATGTGAGATTTTTTATTCACATATGAACTTTATCCCAACAAAAAATTGCCAAAGCCATGACATTATCTTTTCGAATTCGTGCCATCACAAATCCAAGTAAAATAAGTTGGCATCTGCAGTATTGGCCCAATTCAATTTTGCATGTGCATGTATCAGCAGGAACTATTAGTCCTTTTATGTCTTGGCATTCAACTTGGTCTGCAGTAACTTTTGACAATGGGATTAATAATTGGGTTTATCATTTAGGTTTAGCTTAGTGGAAAAGGGGCTCATTAAATACATTCTGTAAACTTGGAAAACACTTTGGGGTGAATTTTCCTATACTAGTGGCTAGAACTCAAGTTGCATTATGTTTACAATTCTATGGAGACTTGCATCAAACCAAGAAACTGTACAATTTGACTAGAAATTTTCATAATTTAATTTTATCTCACAAAAACGTCTCACAAGTATGAATTCAAGTATTTATATAAATATCATAATAAATCTTGGCAAATGACAATATCACGATTTTGAATTAAAATGTTACAAATTTACGTAAGGTTTACCAATAAAAATGTTTCTCATCATCATAAAAATAAATAAATAAATAAAAAGTAAGGAGATTTGGTAAGCAGTTGAACCTTCACTTGTAACCTCCTAGTTAGCTGACAGAGTTGTTAGACAATTTAGAATTGGAATATTTGCATGGATATTGCAGAAGTCAATTAATAGAATAAGGACTTTAAATTTGGATAGTCATGGATAAGCCTATTTCAAACACTAATCGCTTTACATGCTGTTGCTGGAGCAGGTATTATATCAAATAATTTACTTAAAGCAGTTAGCTTGATTCCTTCCAAATTAATAGTTGCTTGAACCCCTTTTTTTTTTTTTTTATTTAAGTTGTTTTATCTGCAAAGAACACATCAGTCATAACGCATGAGATTCCTTGAATTAATTTTCTTCATTTTTTAACTAAGAAAACAGTTGCTTCTGTTCACCACTTCTTTTGGCATATAATAATGATTAAACTAGTTTTTTTTTCCCCATTCTTGTTAATAGGTCTATCCAAGGACTTAAGCTATAAAAAATATGAAACTCTTTGTAAGTGTAAATGAAAAAAGCATTCGACAGTTTGTAAATAAGTTCGGTTTTTATTCTTTTATTAAATTTAACAAACAATCACGAACAATAAATTTGTTAATTAAACGAATAAATTACGAATATAATAAAATTTGTCTATTTTCGATTTATTCATACTTCTATTTCGTCAAACAGAATATGAATAAACCTGTGTAAAGTAGACCAAACTTGTCTTAAACAATTACTAGTAATCATTTTAAACAAAGAGGGGAAATGGTCTTTGAAGTAGCAAAAGTTTTATGAACCGTTTACTTTCTTGCTACTTGAAAGAATTTTCTAAAAGTTAAGTAGGCTGTGAACATCAGTCTTAGATGTTGCAATCCCCTTACCATGAGATTTGTTGTGCTTTATGTGGATTGTTTGTGGCTTGATGTCATTGTCACCTACCAATTCTTCTTTAATTTTCCCTGATCAAGTTGTTCAAGAAATTTGGCTATTTTCGTTGAGCAATCTGCTCTGCTGATTAGTTCAATGAACATAGAAAGCACCAAGTTCAATGTTCATAGAGTAAGCCTGTGTATAATATTCAATACTCAAGGTGTGTTCAATTCAGAAGAGTTCCAATAGATTCATTCAAAATTCTCAGATCATTTCTTCCAGCACCAGTTATACACCATTGCAGATATGCTAAGTGGTCAAAATAATAGAAAGTGTTGCGGATGGAGCAAGGTTAACTGATCTTACAAGAAATTTTGTGTTTTCAATGTGATAAGCATAAATGGCAAGGCTTAAGTAACTATGAACATATCAGAATAGACTTTTCAAACTGAGATATCTTCAGAAACAAAATCACAAGCTCTAAGCCTAACATTAATTTATTGCATTTGTGCTCCATGAATCATGCTGTTCGTATATCACTTGATTGAGTTCTATATTGTAAAATTTGTTGGCCTGTTGCACCAAAATAATAAAGTATAAATGAAATTTATTACATTCATTGAAATAAAGAGAAAAAATAGGCCACCAAGAGAACAAAAAGTCTTGGCATCATTCATAGCATGATAAGGTGGAAAATCATATGCAGTTTTAAGATATTGTACTGTCAAACAAGTTATAACATTCAACTTGGATGGTGAAAAGTCAGGATGACGATAGATATTCTAGAGTGATGCCTTTGGATAAGAGGTAAGAGCCCATACACTAAAGAGTAAGTAGACTTCTGGAGTCAAACACAAAAGATTGGACTGAGTTCAATCTCGTTGTCTGACTTCCAAATCCAACCTACTCTGCAAAGACACATAGACAGAAACATGACAACTTTCATGACCATTTTTCAGTAATTTAAGATTATGGCTGCATAGAATGAGTAAAAAAAACCAGGATAAATTTACTGAAATTATTGAAAATGACTGGTCTTGCAAAGTCTTTATCGGCTAGTTGTAGTCAATATTCTATTTAGTTTTTGGTCTGGGCCCGAAACAATTGGGCCCAAACCAATTAGACTCAAATTGACTAGACCTAATTTGATCAAACCCAAATCAAGCTCGGCCCAATTATAAGATATTATTATTATTATTTTATTGTTTTATTTTTTTATATTTTATTTTTATTGTATTTATCTTATGTATTTATTTTTTCTTTATCTGCTTTTAATATATTCTCTTAAGTAATTATCTTTGTTTTTTTTTTTTTATGGTTAACTTAACTTATTGTTATCTATTAAAAAAACTATAAGAAATGGCAAAAACTTAGTTAGGGAAGGATTCAATCAGTTAGATAAAAGGTTTTCTAAAAATAATAGAATCTAGTCTCAATCCAACTATCAAGAGTTTAATATGAGTTGAAGCACTGTTTAGACTAGAATTCTCATCTATAAATAGATTCCAATTGACACATGAAAGGACATGCAAAAACCAAAGACAAAAATAAAGAAAGCAATCAAGTCTAAATTTTAATTTTTTTTTTAGAAAAGTTTCTGGTAGAGGTTTTGTTTTAGTTTTGAAAAAGTTTGATTTGATCTTTTTGAGGTTCAATTGGTGATTTTTGAAGAGTTTTATAAGTTTTTGAAAAATTTTAAAATTTTCTAAAATTTGTTGAATTTTCTAGTGACAATACCAAATTCCAGCAACTTTCTGGTGAAGTTTCTCAGTTTTTAGCTCTATTTTTTAGAATTCAGCTTATATTTAACCAGAATTCATCCAATCTTAGAGAAAGAACAAAGGAAAAAGAGGCTTGAAGAAAGAAGAGATTTTTTTAACTTTTTATACTTATTAAAAACGATATCATTTTGAAGATTAAAAATGATTTAAGGATCAACGTGTTTTAATTCGGGTTGACATGATACGAGCACCACAATTAGCAAACTCGTTAGGTGACCTGCTCCAGCTTCTTTAGCTCAATTGAGCTAAGCTGAGCCAATGAGTCAACCTAACTAGACCCACTTTTTGTAGCTGCGCCAAACAAGCCAATTGAGCCGAGCCTATTATTTTTAGTATTTGTTTCATTTGTTATTTTTATGGTTTTCATTTATTGTATTTATTTATATTATTCATTTACATTTTTTGAAATATTTTTGCATGGTTTAATTTTTAGAAAAATTTTAGGGAAAAATCAAAATATATAAAATATATATAATATAAATTCTTAGAATATAAATTTTTAAATAAAATTTTAGGAATTAATACTAATTACCCAATAATAAAATCTTTTAGAAATTGCAAAAGGTTAATTTTTATAAAATTTTTATGTGAGAAATCTTTTCTCAATTTAACCCAACTGGAGGAAAATTTAAATAAAATTTCAATAACAATAATTAATATTTATTTTTAATTTTTTTAAAAGATAAAAAATACAAATTTAATAAAAATTTAGGATTGAATTAACAATTACCCATGGATGAGATTTTTAAAAATTTTAAATGATAAATCTTCTAAGAAATCTTTAAGTAAGGAATTTCTCTAGATTTGACCAAGACG